CTTTGAACGAAACTTGACTTGTTTAGCTCAAAAGAGCAAATGTCTATCACCACGATACACAGCTACAACTCGAGGCCCGAGTGATTTTGTTGGACGAAAAAAAAAAAACAACCTACTTCGACTTTCACAGGAAAATGCTTCATTTTCTGGCACACGGTCTTTGGTTCACTCCATTTGTAGACCTGGATGTCCTTGTACAGACATTTCACCTGCTGATGCAGCCCAGCAGTGGAGGTGCTGAATTTATTGTAGCACATGTGTTGAGGTTTATTATATTCTGTCCACCAGAATATGTCATAAAACTTGATAAAGCGGTTGGCGGATGCACCTTGGTGTAATGATTCCGTTCAAATCTGATGCGGCAGAAGTTTGCAAAGTAATAATAAAAAAAAAAAAACCTACACAGAGACCATTAAACCCGTTTGTTTATGTTATGAAAAGTGTTCAGTCACAGCTCAGGACATGGTTTTGACTCGTCTGAACGCTAAGGCAGGAACACAACAGTCCCATAATTTAAACCCTTATTGAATCTGTCTGCAGAGACATTCAGCAGCTGTCACAGGTGCCATCGCCAACCCTGTACATGACAATTCTTTTGTTAATCTCAAACAAGGACTCAAAGTACACGAGTGTAAGGTCAGCGAGTGCAGAAGGAGAAGTGTGACCACAGTTTGACGAGGGACATAATGTTGTCAGTGACATAATTAGAAAGGGGTCACCCAGAGTTCCCCTGTCCGTACGGCGTTGAGGGGCTTTTCCTGCTCACTGAATAGGGCAAACTCATTATCTTCAGCTTACTGTCGGAAGCAGACTGTTGCAGCAGATAGGTAAAGACAGCCATTTTTGGAGGCTCAGCTGCAGAATGTTCTAGGCTTTTGGTCGATACAGACTTCTTAATTATTGGAGAGTCTCTTGACGATGTCTCAACCAAAGGTCTCAGAGACAAACTGGATTACAACACCAACATCTAACATTTGTTGTAGTGGATCACCACCACTCACCACTGTGGATATCAGAGCAGACACAGATTCAGAAAATAGTTTTAGAATCTGTGTAGAATACACAGGCACAAGTATCTGAATCATCAGGTTTAAATAGAATCAGGAGGATGTGCTTGAGTCAAAACACATGGAAAAGCAAGACAGGAGAGCTCTGCTTCAGTCACACTGGCAGGAAAGTGTGAAGAGAGTCAGGGGTATATTGAGACGGGGGGGGGGGGGGGGGGGGGAGGAGTCAACAAGACACAGGTGGAGAAGGTTTAGGGATCGTCAAGGAGGGAACCAAAGCCAATTTCAGTTAGAATGTGATTGAACCTGTAAATCTGTAGTCAAAGCCTCGTCAGATGTTTACACCCTAAATAAACTGACTTTCTTGTGTGTCTTTTTTTGGTGTGAAGATCCATGAACAAAGATAGTTGTTTCAGTTTCCACCCGTGCTTTAGAAAGTGCACCAGTCTTCTTGACCAATCAAAACACTGTAACGCAACTCCACACAGATTATCTGAGTAAAGTTAAGTGTTTTAGGTTCAAAGTTACCTCCCTGTGTTTCAAACACACCATGTGCTGACTTAATTTCCTGCCGCACAAATGCACCTAATGTTCTTTGTCACATTTACGACACCTCCTTAACCCCCCATCCAACCCCCCTCACCCCCCACTGATGTGTTTCAACGTCTCACAGTTATGTCCAAATTGGCTTTGTAGGACTCCATTAGCCACTGTAAAAAAAACCTGATGGCATGAGCGGCAAAGCATTGATTGGCATAACCGTTCCAACGTGCGGCATTATTGTCGGAAAGAATAAGCCATTACATTAAGCACAGAAATTCCTGTTAGAATCGATAGACGCGCTCCCCAAAAAATGCACGCAGTCAGCTTCTGCGGGCAGCAGTGAAAGGACTAAGTGCTAAGATAATAACCGTTTGATTGGGTTAACAGAGGCATCTCTTCATAGCCTGCTGCTCGGCCTCACTGTAATAATGCTTGGTTGTCTATTTTTTCTTTCATGTCCAAATTACAGAGCTGGAGGTTTTGGTGAGAACCGACATTGTTGTAAGGCACTGGGAGGAGGAGGGGGTGGGGTGGGGCACTAAATAAGGCCATTATTGGCGCCCTCGTTACTGTCAGGCACGGCCAGCATTCGGGTTTTAAATAGAAAAGACCATTAGTGGGCTCAGATGACTCACACATTAGGCAAAACACACAGTGCTCATCTGCTGCACTAATTCATTACTGTAAATGTCCGACGCCACATCCTGAACCGTGGATTCGTCAGACTCACCCAGACCAAAGGGAGGATTAGGAGTAAGGCAAACACGGCCTTGTTTTTATTTTTATTTTTGGAAACTGCTGCTCACATTTGTCCTCGGGACGGGGCAGCACAGGACGATAGTGTTGTGTTGTGTTGTGTCGCGAAGCATCGTGCGGTGTTGTGACAGTTGCTGCTTTTTGTGCGAGAGCCAGTAAATTCACAACACCAACCAGACAGCGTTGCTGCAGGAGCAACTGCCGGGGTAAATGATGTCAAGGAGGAGCTGCAAATTACCCCGGCTAGAAAACAGGAGGTCTCTCTCTCTCTCTCTCTCTCTCTCTCTCTTTCTCTCTCTCTCTCTGTTGTTTCTGCCTGTTTTATTTTTAAAATAAAGCTTGTCAGCACTTCTGCCGCAGTGTGCTGACAAGACTGACATAATAGAGGATCTCTGCGCCTCCTCCCCGTCAGACAGTTATGATGGCCAAGAGACCCATTTGCATTTCACCTCAGTCCTACATACAGTACATCTTTGCGCGGTCCATGAGGGCAGTGACGACTGGGAGCACAAAAAAAAAAAACCCCATCGCTGCAGAGAGAGACTATTTTGAAACTTGTTTCTAATTTAGGTCATCCCAGAAGTGTTCAACAGCAGCTTTACCCAAGTAACAAGACAACAGTCCTGGGCTGTTTGTCCTCAAAGAGAATAAAACAGAAACCACTGAGGCCACCAAGGCACTTTTTTTTTTTTGGAGAACTGTGTCGCATATCACTGCAACACTTGGCTTAGTGTTCAGACTAATTCCCTGAATGGATCCTGTTAAGTCCTGCCCATTTGTACACTCTGTACTTTAGGCAATTGTGAAAGGACATTTTTCATGGGGCATCTGGAAGGGTTTTTGGAATTAAAACAGTTGGTTGGGACACTTGGAGAAATGCAGGCTTTTTATATTAATGACGGGCCAAATGTCATTGTCAAGATTTTAATAAAAGTATTTATAAAAGTAGAAAAGAAGCTCGCAACTGCTGTTTCTTTTGCATAATGTGAGGTCAGTAGTTTGGCTAAAATGGTAATATGCTAATTCAGCTAGGTTTTTGCCAACTAACCCCAGTTATATATATACATAAATATATATAAAACTTTAGCAAAAACAAAATGATAACACAAAGTAACTTTACCATTAGTTCCCCACACAGGCAGCTAAAAATGTATAGCAAATGCTATCTAGCTAAATGTTGTGTTCATAGACATAGGCAAGTCACAAGTTAACATGGATCAGCCCATTTTCCTTGGAAACTCGTTAACATAGGTTCTTAAAGCAATAATGCCACTGTGATCAGTGTCGCTCAGACTGCTGTGCTCGTTACGCTCCGACCTATGACTGTGTGCAATCAAATCTTGGCCTCACTATCTACAGATACCCCACCTTTTGGCAGGGCCCCAAAAACACACAGTGTGTTTTTACTATTAGTGGAATTTAATCACACTCGTACACACACTTTGTCGCAACTGGACCAAATGAAAGAGACTTAGTTTTAAAACAGCAGAAACATATTCCTAAAATGTGACTTTGAGGAGGAGGAACATTTCCTTCTGCGTTTTCCAATCTAATATTACTAGATATCAGGCCAATGATACTGTTATTGATTGACCCTAAATTTGAAGGTGACGGCTCTTATCTTGACAAGTGTGTAAGTGGACTGGAACTGTTAAAGCGGTAATGGAATCGTGTGTAACAAAAACTTCTTTTTTTTTGCCCTTGGGAAATATGTTCAAAGAGGATTTGGGTTCATGTCGAGAGCAGTTTCTTGTACCTTTAAGCTACTTTTTTCTTAGCTATGTTTAGTACATTTTGGCTAATGATAAGCTACATGAGCTCATTTCTATGTATGATTAGTCTGATTAAAAGACTAATAACGACTAACCAAATAATGACTAGTTAGTCAACAACTCTTACGCTAATAGTTTTAGGACGCAATTTTCTGTGAACATAGTTTGAAACAACTGGAAACATTTCGGTTAAAGGTTTTGGACGTACACATCAAGGTTTTGTAGTTTTGTGGACAAGGAAAATGAAGAGAAATTTGAAATGTATAGTTTTTACTTCCACTTAAAAATACTGCCTAAGACTTTTTGGGGAATCTTAGTTTTTGATGCTCTCATCACACACCTACTGGATTGTAAATACTCTCGGAAAACAAAAAGTCGAAAGCCTCTCGGCCGTGACCTTCATGGAGAGAGAGACACTGAGATGTCGTCTTTATTACAACATCCCCGTCTTTTAATATATTACCTGGCGAGTTTCCAGCGATGTTGGGAAATTTTACATACTTGCGGTGCGCATCCTGAAATCGGTGTCTCATCCTCACTTAAAATTCCGATCACGTCTTTTGTTTTCCAGCAGAACGGATCTCATCTTGTCAATGTGTGCCCCCGGTGGGTGTGAAACACAAGCCTGTGCAGGTCTACTTTACTCACAGATACCTGAATCCTGGTTTATTTTGGTTGCACTGTTGCTGTTTTGGGGTTTTTTTGGATGCACTTGAGGGCCAGTGTGATGAACATTTTGAGTAGCGCCGTGCTAACCAGCAAAGGCAGCGATTATTGTTGTTAATTATGGCAGAACCTTTGCATGAAGTCACACGTTCAGTTTAATTTTCCCTCTCATTAATCTGCTGTTTTCTCATCCTCTCTTTATTTCTCTCCTGTATCCCTCTCTTCCTTCCTCCCTTTTTACCCTCTCCCCAATCAGGAAGCCTCGTCCCGTCTCCCAGCTCGTCTCACAGCAGCAGGTAACGCAGCAGTTTGTGTTGCCGTCCCAGCCCAAGAAGGAGAAAAAGGAGCGGGTGGAGAGGGAGAAGAATGACAGAGAGCCAGCGCTCAAGAAGAACAGTCACAAAAAGATGAGGTAAGCACGCAGACACCATTTCAGGAGAATCAGCAGAAATTTGATCGAAACATTCTTACACATCACACCCTCTCTCTCCCTCTGTAGGCCGAGATTAAAAAATATCGACCGGAGCAGCGCCCAGCATCTGGAGGTGACGGTTGGGGACCTGACGGTCATCATAACAGACTTTAAGGAGAAGGTCAAGCCCTCGTCCACCTCGGCCACGTCCTCCAGTGCCACGTCGTCGGTGGTTGACCACCACAGCCAGAACGGCTCCAGCTCAGAGAACACAGAGAAGGGGCTTTCCAACTCCTCCTCACCCAGAGGAGAGGGCAGCTCAGTCAACGGAGAGTCCCACTGAGTCACCCCTTCAGCATCCACCCCCAGCCACAGTGTCTCATCTGCCGGTCACTGGAAAGGAATTTGTCTTTTCTTTTGAGATGCACACAACTTTTTTGGTTTCACTTTCTGCGGACATTGGGACAGAGACTAGAGGTGCTAGACCACCGGGTTGGAGCAGGTTGAACCGTTCGACAGACTCTTCTCTTTAAGAAAGCAATATAAAATAAACCCGAGCTTCACCGTCTGTCAAGCTGCAGTTGTCTATATCACAGACACGTCTGGACCGCGTGCCACAGCCTTTCAGATTCCTATTTCCTTCAGGTCAAGTTTTCTTTTTTTTTTTCTTCTCAAAGTGACCCTGCCCCCCCGCAGCCCTGGTGTCGTCTTGAGCGGCTGACAGAGTGACCTTTTCTTCTCACCCATGTGGAATTTTCAGCCTCTGTCAGGATTCTTTACCTCCCTGTTATAAACCTGAACCACCCACCGTAGTACACAGTGTCCTTTCACTAAACCTTCTCTCTGACAGTGAACCGTCACTCACTGATCTCCAAACGCCAGGCTGTTACTGAACAGCCTCGGCTGAGAGCGACTGTCTGACAGAGTTTCAGCGGCTCTCCTGACACCATCGGGTTGATTTCCATCCCGTCTGCAGCAGCAGCAGCAGCAGCTTCAGCTTCTTTCCTCTGTAAAAAACGCAGCCTGGCAGAATAAGTCCAGGATGTGACTTTTTTTCAATGAATTTTTTTTTTTTTTTTGCCACGTAAACTTTGTTTTTCCTTCCCAGATGCCACTCAATGTTTTAACAATTGGTACAAATTTGCTGAGCCTAATGTTAATCACACCTTATTATGGCTAATTGTGACAGCGCTGTATATGTGCCCTAAAGCTCTGAGCTATTTAGATCGTCAAACATTTAATCGCTCATTAGGAAAAGCATAACACACAAGTTTGAGACATATTTTTGTGCTCTGTGTAAACTAGTGACAATGTATTAGCTTTAGCAGCTACGTTTATTGGAAAATCTCAGGGCAATGTCATGACACCCATATAATCAATGCTGCCCTCAGGCTAAAAAGTCCAGGTTTTATTTCTTGCAGTTCGTGTAAAACGCGGTATATTACGGTTTGTCGTGAAAAGTCAAACAAGTTTTTATAAGAAAATGTTGCCGCGTTGGCGAAACAACGCACAGTTGGGGTTCTTGTGGATTTGGCTGGTAAACTGTTAGACTATTCCACAATTATGAGAAACTTATAACTGTTCCATGATGCACAGTGTTGGTGTGGGATTACATAATCGCCCACTGGCAGAGACAGGTCTCCCACAGTCTTTTCAGAGTCAAGTTATTTTGAGACAAACACTGTCTGTTCATAGTTTAACTGAAGAATGGATGAACAGTTTTGGTTCTTTTCTCATTCACTCGGTTCAGATCTTGGTCTCGTTAACCTGGAATTTCTGTTGAAAGAGCAGCACCCAGATGGCTACCATGTGTAACGGAGGTCAAATATCGGATGATGGTTGATACATGAAGTCCTTACCAAAAATAAACCTCTCTCTCTTTTTTTATGTTCAGAGAAAGTTCACTGCTAATCGTGGCTCCTTAAGATAACAGATGGCCGTTTGGTGGTTTGACAGCCATCCATTCTTTAGACAAAAGCTCTTCAAGAGGGGGTCTGCGATCCCTAGAGAGTCCGCTAAGGTACTGCAGGCGGTTCAAGAAGATTTTTTGGTTGAGGCGCCAATTATTTACAGTCCCTCCCTCCTTTTTTTCCCACTTATTTTTAGTTGTGTAAAAAAAGTAGTAACAAGTCCGTGCTCCATCTTCATAATATAAAAGTCCACCTAGTGTTTGGAAGCACCCAGATGTAGTTTTACAGGGAAATGTGCCGATGGATAAAAATGTACTCTCACGTCTTCATGGTGTGTTTTCACAAAACAAGACAAGAAAAAAACAAGCGCCTGTTTTCTCCAAGCCAATGCTAACGCTGATTCAGCTGTTGTATGGAATAAAATAGTAAAGATGGACATTTCGAAACTCTCAACCTCAGGTTGGAGTCGTAAATTTTCGCAAATGGACGTCGCTAGCCTAGTCAGTGATGATCACGTATGACACTAAGTCTGATATTCAACATACATTTTAGCAAACACATTTTTCGCTGAAGTTGAAATAACCCATAATTCCCATCGTTAACACTGCCCTACAACACTGTTTTGTTTTGTTTTGTTTGCACTGACTGTTGTACTCGGTGCAAACTGTCGTAACCCATTGGATGAAACACTCACATTCAGCCAAGTAAACCCATTTACAAGTTAATTTCTTCTTCTGCTGGACCTGTGGCCGACGTCGAGTCAAGATTAATGTTTATTTCCGACGTCATTCGTGCCTGTGGCCGACGTCGAGTCAAGATTAACGTTTATTTCCGACATCATTACAATTTTGGAAGCTGCCAATGACACTGGTCTCCTCCCTTTAACCTCCGCCGCACCTGCTTAGTTTCCCAGTGGATAAAACAAAGCAGGATCCCGCTGTTCTGCCGTCGTAGAGGACTCGGCTCGGACACAGCAGGGCGTCGGTGCAGCTGAAAAGGAGTCTTTGAGCTCTGGACATGTTTCGATGCTGTATAAAAGGAGCACGCTGCAGTGAGACGGGACTTGGAACTGTTTTGATGTCTGCGGTTCTTTAGGAGCACTCTTAACTCTCAGCAGATCATCTATAGATCCACTTAACTCCACGCTAACTTATAAACCCTGTAGATCCACGACACAGATAAATGGATATTTCTACAATATTGTACTACACTGTCTTGCTGTGGCTAATTTTTGTTTCTCCTCTCCATCATTTCAGTGTTATTGTCAATAATTTCTGACTTTCTGAAAAGATTTAGCACACACTCTGAGTAACGTCACGGCATGATAATACCGAGGTCTCAGTATATTAGGGACGAGTTATGTCTCTTAGTTCGTTAGTATTGTTTAATGTGTCACAGATGTACCCCCCCCCAACCCGCCATGCCTCACGACACTAGCTGGGACTGGTGTGTGGGCTCATGGGAAATTATTTAGATGGACATTTTTGTTATTTGGTTGTCACAGAAATGAGAGACACCTGTGTTTGTGTCATGAATTGATGTTTCTGATTTGTTCTCAGTTTTCTTTTGTTTGTTTTTTGCTTTGCTATGCTCAATGTGTGAACTTGTTTAACACATGTCCAAATAAGAAAATAACAAAAAACAAAGAATTTGTCCCTTTTTTTACGCATCACATTTATCACATTTGTTTCATCATTTTCATAAACAGATTAACATTTTGTTGAAAAACAGCCATTATATCATATTAAAGGAATTGATGTTTAGACAGATTACACTGTAGATAATTCACTGGTTGGTCATATCGGTCATTTCTGCAAATCTAGGCCACTTTTGACACATATTTTTGCCAGAACTTATCCATTTTATAAAAGGCTTTCAGCAATTTTTAAAATGCAACCATGTTTGCTTTACTTTTTGGTCAATGTCTTTATATATCACTGCAAAATCTACTTTCTTGGCCAAGTAACTGAAATGGAGGGAAGTCAACCCAAAATATTCTATATTTATTGTGTCAGTTTATTACAGTTCTATAATTTACAATTACTCAAATATGGCCTCTAGTGGCAACAATTGTAACTACCATTTGTCCTGTAATGTCCTATTTTAACAACCGCTTTTGCCCTTTTACACTCAGTTAATCTTCAAATAAAAGTTGTTTCTCTCCACTAACCCTCCACAAAGAGCATTCAAACCAGGCTCTGTGGACCTTTTTGTGGGCTATAGAACTCAAACTTGACCCTGCGCTAAAGAGGGTGCCAGACGTTACAAAGAACCAAAAGCTGAAGAAGGTATTAGAGTAGCATTGTGTAATTACATGTATCAGTTATTAACATAACATATGGCCCAACACACTTAACGATGAGGCATATCATCAGTCACTAACCCAGTTTTCCCACACTTCATGAAAATGCTATTGACCTTCGGCTGTTTGTCCAATGCAGCCTCAGAAATAATGACCACCACGACTACTCTAAGGCAGCCTGAATGGCTCTTTTCAGAGGTGGAATCAATTCAACCTTGTTTCCTCAGACAGAGACTGAGGGGGTGGAGGTGGTCGCACTCTGCTTATCTCTCCCACCCTTCCCCCAGGCTCGGGGTCTCGACCTCCTGCCACTGCAGCATGAAGGCATCATGTGAAACCTCAAGAACAAATGGTAAGTGCCGGAAGTTGGTCCTCGCCTTCAATGTAAAAGCACGAAAACGAACACCGTGCACATACTGTATATGACAATAGACTATTATTTTGTTTGTTTTTGTGTTACATATATTCTAGGTTTATTGAGTCAAGGTATTGGATTTACTTTTTAGGGACTTTAAGCAATGCTTAGCACAACTGGCTAGGTTGTAGGCACCATTTATCCACACCAAGTTAGCTTAGTACGGCTAATTTCAAGCAATATTTGTTTATTTTGCGCAAGCCATATGGAAATAGAGACTTACGTTATGTTAAATACATCAAATGACCATACATGCAAGCCATATGGAAATAGAGACTTACGCTATGTTAAATACTTAAATACATCAAATGACTATACATAAAAAAATACCCTGAATAGTTATAATACATTCTTTATATTAGTTACAAAGGACAAAAGTCCCCTTAGCTGTGACCTAAACGTGTGTAAAATCAAAAGTCCCCTTAGCTGTGACCTAAACAGGACAAGCGGTTACGTGTGTAAAACGTAGTAACACCAGACATGCTACAATTTGCATTGCATTACATAAGGTTCACCCTGTGAATTTTTTATATTAGCATTTTTACTCAGCGAGTAAACGGGAACGTCTGAAATAGTGCTAAAAGATCAGACAAATAACCATGTAGGGCCATAACACATCCGACAGAGGGTGTAGTTGTTCCACACGATTACTGCGTAGTGGACGTTTATTTTCCAAACCCTAACAGGAAGTTAGCTTCCACTGCCTGCGTGTGATCTCACGGTTGTAATTAATCCGTGGTTTCTGTGTCATGACTGTAGCAGCACGGAGTTGTGTTTTCAAACTCCAAAATGCGGCGGTACAGTCGTGCACTGCTGCTATGCACGGTGTTTGCCGTGTGTTCCGGTCTGTACGTTTACAATAAGCTGCTGTACTCGGACGTTTCACTGGTAGGAAACAACGGACCGAGGAGAGCAAGCGGAGCTGCGGCAGAAAGACGAGGGGCCGCGGAGAACAGTGGGCCCCGAAACATACACTGGTACAACAGGTATGTGAAGACTAGTAGTATTGAATTACTACACCTGGAATTGTTGAGTGGACATAATAAAGTACATTTCATACAAACAAAGGTGCAACACATGTAGTAATGTACCGTGTCGAGTAGCAGTCATGTGAAGGAATGTGACGCCGCTTGGCTGATGTCTACGTCAGCTTGTTGTTACTTTTAATTGTTTAAAAACACCGTGGGTTTTTCACGTGTGCAAATTCGAAGGCACCTTTATTGATAAAAATTCAAGTCAAACATAATGAAAAGTGTCTGGGTTAATAATGAAAACTAAACGAAATGAGGTTGAGTGCCAAAGAAACTTTAAACATGTATTAACTACATTACTAACACGCTATACCCAGTGGTTGCCAAAGTGAGGGGCACGTATCCAGTGTGGGGACAGGGAGGACTCAACAGGGTATATTAATTAATAAG